AGTTTCTAGAAACAAATACAAAAATGTTCTTTTCCTGAATTTCTTCACTTGGCAGAAATATTTTTGCGAAAGGAGTGTTTTCCTCATGTCCCTTTTATCAAATCAGAAGAGCTCGTTAATAACTCTTGTTCTCTTCTCCGGTGTGATACATCGACATTTAGATTTCCTTGGCAGTTTGTTTCCTTTTTTCCTGTAGGTTCATTGATAAAATCTTCCATGTTCCTCTTTTTCAACTCACCCCTTTCTCTTGCTCATTTTCATGGAGTTGGTACTTTAAAAACCATTTTTCCAATACTGAATGGCCATTGTTGCAAGTTCTGAGTTAAACGAATCGATTGACGGAATAGTCGTCCGTGTAACAAAAGACTTCGCTACAGAAGAGTCAGAGAGATCACACACAAATAGTCGAGCTTCCTTTTGAGATGCAGATGTATACATACTATATCACGCTCCATGAAGAACATACAATTACAGTTCACAGAAACAGGCATTCAACTTGTTTCAAGTCTCTTTAAGACATGATTCAAATGAAATATATAGGGTTGTCTGTAATATTAAGCATTGGAAATGTGCACACAATTTATGGCGTATATGTATACCTTTTTTTATTAGACCAATGCTTATTTCAAATAAAAGTATTGATGACTGGCTAGATGTGCATTGTAAAACACACATGAGTGAACCATATTCCATGAATTTCCCGTACTCTGTTAACTCGTTACACAATGCAAGGCACATGAACAGTAAGAACGTGCGCTGTATTGCAATAATTATTGACACACCGTTCCGACCGTAACATCTGTTGTCTCTATCCCACGAAAAAATTTATTCTACCCGCCGTTTATTTCCCTTTACGTTTTTTTCGTCGTTTTCCACTCTATCCGCCTCGCACACTGCATTAGCAGTTGCCTGTGCGTGTCGACGCTAACGTAACTTAGTCGCTAACTGACCGTCGACGTTCGCGTCTTTTCGATAAAACAGTACTCCTTTCGCGTCGCCACATCACTTCCCGGCCACTTTAGGTTCGGATAAGAACGAGAGTAATGTCTTGAAGATTCCGGGGAGCGTGGGGGCGACGGAGGCGGCCTGGCGAGGACGAAGTCGGTGAGGGCTGAGATGGCAGCGACGCCCGTAGCACCGCGGAGCGACCGGAGGCCCAAACCGGGTGGCGAACAACAACTATAGACGTGAGATGTTGGATTTACGTGCTTTTCTATGAATGAGAACTCCCGGAAAAGAACGAATATGGTATTCCAAATTCCTTTAGAAACACGTGAAATAGTGGATCACGCATTCCTTTACAGTAAACATACATGTTGCTGGTTTGTAGTGAAACATCGCGCATTCAATACGTTTCAAAATTACAATATCTTTCTTGAAGTACAATAAAAATTTGGAGTCAGGTTAAGATATTCGTACAATTAAGTAAGAAGTATGTCCTACTTGTATGTACAATTAAGAAGGTCACTTTTTTATACTCTCCTGTGTGATCCCCAATTTTAATTGTAGTAAAAGTAGATTTGAAAATATTCTACATTTGCTTTTGTAGGACTTGAAATCCGCCAAGATAGTCGTCCAAATATACAATTATTTGTAGTTGTCTTTTAACTCATATTTGCGGTGTCTGCGATAGAATATCGATAAGAAATTCCGAATTACAAAACTACAAAATATCAACACAACTCACTTTCATTTTCAATATTCATTCACGAATCAGAGTATACTTCTTCAGTTTCACAATTCCTTTCTCTCCAACAAAAGAATAAATTCTCCGTCCGTGAAAAGCGCGGGGCGGGTTCGAACAAGGAAAGAAGACGAAAGGAGCAGAAGGCTGAAGGACGTTCGCGGCGCAAGGGCGACGGAAGGCCATAGGACGTGCGTGGCGGGGGCGACGGAGGGCGAGAGGGTGACGGAGGGGGGTCGGAGAGGGGTGGGGGTGGGCGCGGTCCGCGCAAGTGACACTTTTTACGCCGCTTATTGCCCGGGTGCAGATATAGGCGCGCGTATTGTTTTATGGGTGCGCTGGGCCGGGGATGAAATATGCGGGGCCCAGGCACTGCTATTTATCACGGGGTGTTCGCGCGCGGCTCGGGAATCGGAGCGAAGCGGCCCTGCCGCCCCGGCCCGCCGCCGCCACCGCGTCGCCGCTCCCGCCGACGCACAGTGGCAACTCGTGCTTTTCTTCGCGGTCGAAAGTTGAACAAATGTGTGGTGTGTTTTAAAATCGTACGTATTTTCAAGAAGTGTTCGAGAACGTCTTAGCTTAAAGCCTTTCAATACGTATGTCCACAACTTGTGCTGAATTAAGGATGCACGATGTTGAATGGAAGACTTTCAGAAATCTTAGATCTATTATATCATATGAAGTAGGATTTATAAGATTAATAGCATCAAATTATCCAAACATCAATATTATTTCATTAATAAGTACTACGAAAAAACTCATTTCAGTCGGACGAAATCGGTCAAAATAAGATTTCCTAATTTTACAGTGCACATTACGTGACATTTTTAACCCTAAATAGATATTTTGTATTCCTGTAGAGATGAGAGATTCGATCTTTCATCTGAAGGTTTTGGACTACGACCATTGAAAGAGGGTGCTTCGGCCACTGCGTTTCTGTGCCGTCGCTGCCGACGCCTCCACAGCCGCCTCCGTCGTCCTCTCGGCCGCCGCAGTGCCGGGGCCCGCGCCAACCGCCCACCCCTGCCGATAGCACCGGCCCGACCCGATGATATTTTCGGGCTCTAGCAAAAGTGGATTTTGGCGCCCCTTCCTCCAGGCATTCAGCGAAATTGTGTTTGCCCGATTCCTGCCCATCCCTCTCCGCCACGCACGTGTAACAGCCCGCGACTGCGTCGCCGCTTCGCCAAATGCCCCCATTAATCGGTGTACATGTTTGCGAGATTAGATGCGCGCTCTGCGGAAGGTAAACGAAACTGGCGTTGTGGGCGTTTTTTAGTTTGACTTAGCGGGCCAGTGGGCTGTGACTAAATGCGGTATTTTCTTTGAAGTTACCGTATTGAAAGTTTAATTGTAACTTTGCTTGCTCTGTTCGCGAGTTAATGATTTAAGATTTTTTTCCTTCAGGATCGGCTTCAATTTTTTTTTTTCGTAAACTCATCTTAGAGAATTTAGAACTCTGCATCTTGTGTCTGCTATTGTCGAGACGTCGGTTATTTATTTATCATATTCATTTCTTTGTTTCGGAAATTTTTCTTAGAATTCCGAGTAGTTTTACATTCATTATTTCTCCCTTGGTTCAGTTGGAGAAAATTGAAATTGTGCTAACTAATAAACGAAGTTAGGGAGTAGTTATAATGGAAATGAATCTAACTTTTTGTCCTTTACCACTATTCGAATTTGATTCATTGACGAAGAAAAGGTTTGCTAAGATATTACTTAAAGATACCGTGAACGCTTTGAGAGAACATTGACTAGAATAATTAATTCGTTTTATATATCATTTCTTTGAATACTACAAACTTATAAAAAATAGACGTTAATGGAATTCAAATAGTAGTACTAATTTAAATATTCCAATATCCTTGTACGTAAATTTTACTGGCCACTGTGACAAAAGAATGATCTCTTTGCACAGACCAAATGGGAACCCCGCCAACATCATCGAAACGAGAAGTCTCTCCGAAGATTAAACACGAAAACCGGGACAGTAAACAGCGAGGGACGTACGCAAATCGAAAATCTGAGCTGCACCGTCATTGCACGTCCAAGCTGTACACAGGATCACGTGACGCCCGGTCCCTCACAAGCAGCGGTGACTCAGCGGTGCAGTTTGGGCTTGCAATCTGTCGTGAAATTGGAGAATCTCCCGCCCCAAACGCAGGCGTTCTTTCAGCGCGGCGATTGCAATCCGTCGCGTGATTTGCTCGTGAGTGCGCCCGCCCGCCGGCCGTGCCGCTTTATAACGAGACGGCGATGACGCGAACCCAACGCCAAACGCTCTTCTCCAGTGGCGCGCCGCCGCATGACCTTAATTAGCTGGGCGTGAAAGTACGATGTTCACCGAAGCCCATCACATATGTTATCGACCGGCTCGTGTTGCAATGCCTGTTCGGTGGAGGTCATTCGTAATAAAGAGAAAGCGACGATTTTTTGTGATGACTTTCAATGCCTGTTTTTTTCTGTAATTTATTTTTAACTGCTGCAGTTTCTTTTATCTGCCCTTCCGATTTACGAAATGAACCGGTGTATATTCCTTGTCCGTGTTATCCGATGATATTGATGTGAGCCTGAATTACATTGTTTCATAACTTCGCCAAAATTTTGTTATTATTCATGACATGTAATGCGGGAATAAATTACTACGTATGTGAAATAGATTCATCTCGTAAAATTAATTTCGGCGAACTCATTTAATTAAACTAATGGTTTTATTTCAAACATATCGAACAAGAATACCAAACCAGTGATTTTGTCACAACTCCTCTCTACATTCCGAACGATCATTAAGTTCGATGATTGAGTATTGCTTTAGATTGGGGTGGGTGAGCAGAAACAACAGTAAGAAACGCTTCATAACTGGTAAGAATATGTACTGCTGAGACAATCATCCCCGGAAATTAATGGAAATGTCATAAATACCTTAATGTGCTGGTGATGATGATGATGATGATAATAATAATAATAATAATAATAATAATAATAATAATAATAATAATATCGCCAAAGTGCGGATAAGATTATGGGTTATCAATGCTTTTAGTATATCGGGATCATCTTCTCTGATATCGAAATTTATTTTGGTCATGCCGAATAAAATCTACGCAACAGTTAAATTCTCACCAAGAGAATATTGAGCCAATCACTGGCCCTGCACATTGCGCAACCACTTTATCTAGAAGACGTAACTTGAAGCATATGTGCGCCGCCTTTCTCCTCGCACATCGCCTTCCGCGCGAAAGGTCATTGCAAGACGCCATGAGGCACGGTGGAGCAGCGTGGCTTGGCATAGCGTCGGGCAGCGTCGCGTGGCGCGATGCGAGGCAAGGTGGACGGGACGATGCCGGGTTGGGCGGGAGGAGTCAAGACGAGACGGGTTCGACGGGGCGGGGAGGACTGGGACGAGCGGATCGAGCTGTGGCTGAATAGGGCAGGACAGGAAGGGGCGGGCAGACGCGATGGCCTAGTGCAAAGGTTGCCAAGTGTGTTTCAAAAACAAAAAAAAAAGAAAGAAAGAAAAAGAGAGAGATCCATAAAACATCGTATTTTTGTGTTGTTAGAATTAAATGAATATTATAAAAACTTCATTACAAGAATAGTTCATTCATTACATTAATATACTGTAACTAATTGTAAAATTTCGAGGAAAATAGATTTTTTGGCATTTTAAAGGTTTTTCGGGTTCAAATATGAAAAAGATGTAGAATATGATGTTTGTTTTTCATACACAAATATTATATTGATGATGGCAGGCATGGTGGCGTTTCAGTGATCAAGAATTTCTTTAAGGATTCTGCGGGAAGTTGAAAAGTCTGGTATAGAGTGAACCTGGTCTCAGTTAAGAGGAGGGGCTGCAAGACCCGAGGACGTGTTCTTCAGGCTTGGCGCTTGCGGTTAAACCTTCGTGAACAGGTTCATTTACTCTTTGAAAGTTGAGAGTATATCGCGGTTTCGTTTGTGGGTATCGATTTCGTGTGACAACGAACTATTTGAAAAGTTTTAATTATTTTATTGAAACTCTTATATTGTTTAACAGCAATTTCTTGGTCGAATTCATCTCGATTCCATGCATGTTGCCCACCCAGGTCCGGGAGATATTCCTCAGACGAACAAATGGAATATACGATTCTGAAAAAACTGCGTATGTAATATATTTGAGATTCCGACATTTATCTTGGTTATGGAAGGAACCGTTTTCTTCATGGGATACATTGCTCCGTTTAGTCCCTCCCTTCTTCAGCTGTCTGATTCCGACGTATACACATTTATATTCATTAGTGACAGTTGTCCATGTAAACTATTCAAAGAGAAATATTCAGCTAATTTAAAAGAGCGGACTTTGAGCGATGAATCAAATTACCGTTGTTAGTGCATTTATAAAAATGATGCATGTTAACACAGGCAAATCGTATATAAATGTACGTTTCATTTCAGGCAAATAAACAAGTTAATACATGTGTAAATGAGCAAGTAGCCACTTGCGCCGGAGACTGCGCATATTAAACGTCGGGTAAAGGAGTCGTTTAGAATGGCCGCTGGCGTGGGGACCATGGGCGTCTTCACGAAACGCGGGACAAACGCGGCGCACGCCCACGCGTGGGCTCATTGTGG